GCAATCCCTTATCCTCCCCAGACCCTTCTGGGATCCATCCGGATGGAAATGTCTGGAGACCCTTTGGAAAACCCAGTGCAGTCCATGGATAATCGGGAAATACAGGAATACCTGAATTTACATCTTCCATTCCTGGAAGCCAGGTGGCTTCAGAGCCCTTCTCCTGCTCTTTTTATGGAATCATGGATTGGTTTCAATCCTCTGAAATCATCAAGTCCACGCTTTAAACCCCAAGTGCCACATGGATAATAAATCCCTCCAGGGATGGGAACGCCAGATGTCCTTGGGCAGTTCCAATCGTTTTCCATGAGGAAATTCCCGCTGACGTCCAACCTGAACATCTCCTGGCCATTCCCTGTTCCCAGGGAGTAGATCCCAAATTTTTCCCCTGGCTGTCCCCTCCTGTCACAGCCAGAAGGTCCCCCCTGAGCCTCCTTTCCTCCAGGATCTTTGATGGGATTAAGGGAAGAATTCCTGAATTCCTGAACTGAGGGAGAGATTCCTCTCTTCTAACAGCAAACACCGAAATTGGGCTGATGTGAAATATTCCCAAAATGTTCATTTCTCCCACTGATTATATGGATAACATGGAGCTCTCTGGACACATCCACGATCCCAAAACCAAAATCCAGATGACGTGACAATTCCATGAGACCCCATGGAATTTGTTTTCTTGCTCACCACCCTTCATTCCTTTTCCTTGGAAAAGCCTCAAACTGGGAGCTCCTATGACTTTGTCCTTCCTAAATTCCCAGAGGTGACAGCAGGGCCTTCCTGGGGCGTGTTTTTCATGGATTTGCTTGCCTGGATTCAGTCCAAGAGGGAAGGACCCTTGATGGGATTAAGGGAAGAATTCCTGAAGTGAGCAGAGATTCCTCTCTTCCCACAGCAAACACCAATATCAGGATGATACAGAATATTCCCAAAATGTTCATTTCTCCACATAGATTTTATGGAGAGGTATAACTTGGAATTCTCTGGAAACATCCATGATCCTGACACCAAAATCCAGCTGAGGTGACAATTCCACAAGACCCCGTGGAGTTTGTTTTCCTGCTCACCCACACTCACCCTCATTCCTTGTCCTTGGAAAAGGCACAGACCTGACTTTGCCCTTGGGAAATTCCCAGATGTGCCAGCAGGACCTTGCTGGGGTGTGTTTTCCATGGATTTGCTTCCCTGGCTTCAGTCCAAGAGGGAAGGATCCTTGATGGGATCAAGGGAAGAATTCCTGAAGTGAGGGGGAGATTCCTCTCTTCCCACAGCAAACACCAAAAACAGGCTGATGCAAAATATTCCCAAAATGTTCATTTTTCCACATAGATTGTATGGATAACGTGGATTTCTCTGGAGGCATCCACAATCCTGACACCAAAACGCAGCTGAGGTGACAATTCCACAAGACCTCATGGAGTTTGTTTTCCTGCTCACCCACACTCACCCCTCATTCCTTTTCCTTGGGATTACCTTGGAAAAGGCACAAACCTGACTTTGCCCTTGGGAAGTTCCCCAGGGTGACAGCAGGACCTTGCTGGGGTGTGTTTTCCATGGATTTGCTTCCCTGGATTCAGTCCAAGAGGAAAAGACCCTTGCTGGGATCAAGGGAAGAATTCCTGAACTGAGGGAGAGATTCTGGACCGATGGGAAATACTCCCAAAATGTTCATTGCTCCAACTGACTGTACGGAGGGGGATAACCTGGAATTCTCTGGAAACGTCCATGATCCCGATACCAAAATGTAGCTGAGGTGACAATTCCACAAAATCCCGTGGAGTTTCTTTTTCTACTCACCTCTCATTCCTTTTCCTTGGGATTACCTTGGAAAAGGCACAAACCTGACTCTGCCCTTGGGGTATTCCCAGATGTGCCAGCAGGACCTTGCTGGGGTGTGTTTTCCATGGATTTGCTTCCCTGGCTTCAGTCCAAGAGGGGTCAGGAGGTTCCTGGTATTCCCCGGGGGGATTTTCCAGGAGCTGCTTAACAGAGGACGTGAATGTCCCACAATGTCCCACAAATGTCCCACAAAGTTCCCACAGGAGCCCGGGACTCAGGTCAGTGCTCCCGCTGCCGCAGGGCTGAGCCAGCACCATTCCCCCTTTCCAGGTGTTTCCATGGGCTCCGCATTCCTGGGCACTGGGGCAGGACAGAGGGAGCAGCACAATCCCTTTCCAGGTGGGAATGCGTCTAACAAATGCTGGAGCACTCAATTTCCCCTTCTATTTTCCATGGAAAACCAATCCAGGGAGAAAATCAGGAGAAATCAACGCCAGGAGCAACTTTAGCAGGAAGACTTCCCAAATCCGGGCTTAATTCCCCATCCCAAATAAGCCCAAATTCCTTAAAAGTGGGTCTAATATCCCAGACAAGATCCCCTCTAGTGGGAATTTCTGGAAAATGTGGAGATCCTGGATCCAGTGATTTTTCCTCCTCCAGGCCCAGCATCACCTGAATCCAAGGAAATGAGTGACCCTGCCATTATTCCCTGGATTTATGGGAATTAAATGCAACTTTTGGCCTCTGGAATTCCATTTCCACCCAAATACGGGACAATAAATCTAATTTTCCACTAAAAATTCCTTTCTGTGGCTGTGGCTTTTCCAAGGCAATTTCTCCATCTGCTGGTGGAAAAGCAACTCCCAAAATGCCGGAATTGCTCCGGGTTGGAATTTTCCACCTTTTTTTCACTTCCTGACTTCCAGATCCACTGGAACAGGGAAAACGTTGGATTGGAACTGGGAATTTCTTCCTTCTGTTTCCACTTCAGGAACTGGGATGAGTTTTATGGGCAGGATGATCCCTGGAAACTCTAGGAACGGATTCCCTGATCCCAGAAATGGATTCCCAAATCCCAGGAATGGATTCCCTGATCCCAGGAATAAATTCCCTGCATTCCCTGAATTTCCTGCATTCACCCCCATCCTGATAATTCCAAACCCAATTATTCCCAAAGGACAAATTCATGTTTTAAAAACAGAAAATCCCCTTTTAAAAATCAATAAGTCATTCCCACAAATCTTTCGGATCTGATCCACAGGATTTGGAATATTTACTTGGAAAAAAGGGGGTGAGGTAGATTTTAAAGGATTCCCCAGTTCCAGTGAATATTTTATTTTGGATTTTGATTATTTTTTACAATATAGAGATGGAAGTTGGATGAGGAAAAAGGAATTCCATGGAAAAGAAAAGGAGCGGATTTTTCACCTGGAAACCTTTGGATTGGGAATAAATCCCTCTGCAAACGGAGCCACATCCCAAATTTCCAGCACAATTCCAACTGCAGGATGGGGAAATCCGAGTTTTCCTGCCCCAATCCCAGCTGGATTCCATCCTGGAAATTTTAAGGCATAAATATCCCTTCCCAAAATTCCCATGGATCCAGCAGATCCCAGGCAGCAAAGCCTGAATCCAATGGAAAAATCTTTTTTATTGTCATGATTCCTGATTAAACAGGACCTTGAAAAATTTGGATTGAAATTCCAAAGAAATCCAATCTTTGTATCCATATTCCCACTTTTCCATTGGTGCCATTCCAAGATTTAGACTCCTCTGTGTCCAGGGGCAGAATTCCCAATGCTGGAATTCCACATTTCCCTGGATTCTTCTCTTCCCAAACATTCCCATGGTTCTGGACATCATTCCCAACATCTCTCCTTAAGTTTTCCACCTTTTCAGCTGCTCTGGAATTTTGGGACATTTTGGAGCTGAGCGACCTCACTCAGACAGAAAATTCCCTTCATTTTCCCAGGTTCATTTCCCACCAGGATGAGTTGGGTGGGAGAGAAGGGAAAGGAAAATTGGGAAAAGGAAAAATGGGAAATATCTTGGCACTTATAAATCCACGTTGAAAAAACAGCAGGAAAATTGATAATTTCTATTAATTAAATATCAAATAAATCCCATTCCTGGGGATAAAGGATTGGAGGGAATTCTCCCTGTGGAGCAGACAGTTCCAGGCTATCCTGAGTTTTAATTATCCCAAGATTTTCCATGCTATCCCCCAAAAAATGTGGTGTTAAATCCCTCCAACTAAGGCAGAAATTTCTGGAATATTCCCAAAACAGCTGGAAAACGCCGCTCCTGATAAATCCACTCCTCAGGAATTCCCAGGAAGGGAAGGAATAGCAGCCACATGGAAGTGGAGCAGAATTCCTGGTCTCAGAACTGGCTTTCCTCAGCAAAAAATTGGGAAAATGTGGATAAATCTCCTGGAAAAGATGGAATTCCTGCAGTTTCCTGCAGCAATCCAGGAAAAGCGACACCAGAGAAGGAAGGAAAAATTCCCATGTGTCCAAAAACCTCTTGGAATCCACAGGACCCACACCTTGGAGAATTCCATCCTTTGGGATTTTCCCAGAATTTACAAAATCCCTAAAATTCCCCACAAGGAGGTGCTGAGTGCCAGGAAATCTTTCTCCAACTTCTCCTGGTCCTCCAGGAGAAGAAATTCAGGATGAATCCCATTCTCCTTTAGTTCGGATCCTCATCCCTGAGCATTCCCATGTTTTTCCAAAGTCCTCAGTCCCATTCCAGCTTCCAGTTCACATCTATCCACATGGAATTCTGGGTGAGGGACTGGATATTTTTCCTGATTATCCAACCAAATTCCCAGTTTTCCTTCACAGAGACGAATCCTGGCGGCTCCATCTCCAAATGGGAAGAAGAAATCCACGCATCCAACAGCATCCCACAGGAATATCTGGATAGGCACATCCTGCTCCAAGTGCTCGTCCCCCAGCAATGTGCTGGAGAATTCCCCCAAAAAATTCCAGCATTGTCCTTCCAGGAGGTCACTTCTTCTTTGCTTTGGAATTCCCACCGGCTTTTCCATCGCTTTTAGCACCAGCTTCGCCTTCTTTTTCCCCCTTTTTCCCTTGTTTCTTGTCGTTTGTGTCCTTTCCCTTTTCCCCCTTTTCCTTTTCCCCCTTTTCTCCTTTCCCTCCTTTTTCCTCTTTTCCTCCTTTTTCCCCTTTTTCTCCCTTTTCTCCATCTTTTTTTTTGGCTCCGTCCTTCCCTTCCTTCTTGGATTCTTCCTTCTGCTCCTTCTCCCCGTCCTTTTTCTTGGAGTCTTTGGATCCATCCTTCTTTCCCTGAGCCTTGTCCACTTTTCCGGACACGGTGGGAACTTCTTCCTCCTTTTTTTCTTCCGCAGCCTGAGCTGTTTCCAAGGATAGAGAAAAAAAAAAATGGAAAAGGAATTGATGTGGATTCAACAACCCAGGAAGTGTCAAAATTCCAGCTGCCTGCTAGAAATCTGGGATAAAGGGAAAACATTCCTAATGGAGATTTTCCCATCCAGCTGATTGATTTTTTGGAATTGTGAAGCAGAAAATCCAAGGATTGATGGATCACCTTGGAAAAGAGAAGCCACAGGTGGCTGGGAATCAAAATTCCCTAAATTCCTTGGAGAACCATCTCATCCCATAAGGATTAACTGGAAGGACATGGATTCAGTGGAAGGACAAGGATTTATTCATGGAATTGGGTTCAGCTCCACAGGCAGGGCTGGGAATTCCCAGTTTCAGGCATCTCTGAAATCCTGGGATTTGTGCAAAGTCCCATTGTTCAACTCGTAATTCTGCATTTTGCTGGTGTAGGACTGAATTTCTCCAAGGAATTCCAAAGTTCCTCCCAGAGTGGGATCTGCCTCTTTTCCCATGGATTGAAGCAGCACATCCCGAATTATGGAAACGCCATTTTTATGGAATTTTATGGAATTACAGCTCCCGGAGAGACACAAGAAAGAAGGAAACAAGGCATCAAAAGGTGTTGAGGAAACAGGAAAAGTCCAGGAATGGAGAAGCAGCAAATCCAAGGATTGATGGATTCCCTTGGAAAAGAGAAGCCACAGGCAATCAAAATTCCCTAAATTCCTTGGAGAACCATCTCATCCCATAAGGATTAACTGGAGGGACAAGAATTCAGTGAAAGGACAAGGATTTATTCATGGAAGTGGGTTCAGCTCCAGAGGGAGGGCTGGGAATTCCCAGTTTCAGGCACCCCTGAAATCCTGGGATTTGTGCCAATTCCCATTGTTCAAATTCCCATTGTTCAACTCGTAATTCTGCATTTTGCTGGTGTAGGACTGAATTTCTCCAAGGAATTCCAAAGTTCCTCCCAGAGTGGGATCTGCCTCTTTTCCCATGGATCGAAGCAGCACATCCCGAATTATGGAAACACCATTTTTATGGAATTTTATGGAATTACAACTCCCGGAGAGACACAGGAAAGAAGGAAACAAGGCATCAAAAGGTGTTGAGGAAACAGGAAAAATCCAGGAATGGAGAAGCAACAAATCCAAGGATTGATGGATCCCCTTGGAAAAGAGAAGCCACAGGCGGCCGGGAATCGAAATTCCCTAAATTCCTTGGAGAACCATCTCATCCTCTTCCTTCAGCACAGGCAGGGAGTGGAGCGGTCTGGACTGGCCATGGCCAGAGAGGGTGAGGAGATTTTCGGGAGAGCCTATGGAATCAGGAAAGGAGAGTGAGAGCGGCACAGAAGAAATATTTCAGCAGGAAAAACCGGGAATGTGGAATTCCAACCACTCCAATTTCGCTCCTGGTATTCCCCAACCCTAGGGAAGGCCCTGAAATTAAATTAATTCCCACTGGGAATTTTCAGCATGGAATTCTTCTAAATAAAGAGGGTGAAGGATGGAAATTGATGGGAAAATGGGATACGGCCTCCAGTTGTCTCAGGAAAAATTTGGATTGAATATTAGGGAAAAAAATTCTTGATGGAAGATTGATTAAGGATTGGGAAGTGTTGGAATCACCATCCCTGGAAAGGTTCCAAAAACCCGGAGATGTGGAGTTTCACAGGGTTTTTTAGTGGGATTTGGTTCAAAATAGGATTTGATGGATTTGAGGAGCTTTTCCAAACTTAATCTGGGAATGAAGGAATGATTCCAACTCAAACCGATGGAGAAATTCCCTCTTATCCAAAGGACTTTATCCCAATATCCCGAGTCCACACGGGGAGGGTTGAACTTGGTGATGGCACCACGGGAGAGACTTTATGCTCCCAGAATCCCCCCCAAAAAAGTGAGAATTACGTCTGGGGATGTCAGTCAGCTCATTGATGGGCTTTGCATTCCCAGAATCCCAAAAAAAAGGTGGAATTAGCTCTGGGAATGTCTCTGAGCTCATTTAAGGAATTTGCACTGCCCCAGTCCCCCAAAAAAGTCAGAATTACGTCCGGGAATGTTGTTGAGCTCATTGAGGGAATTTGCACTGACAGAATCTCAGAAAAAGTGGGAATTAGCTCTGGAATGTTGCTGAGCTCATTGTGGGACTTTTGTGCTCCCAGAATCCCCCAAAACCCCTGGAATTACCCCCAGGAATATCGGTGAGCTCATTGAGGAATTTTGCATTCCCAGAATCCCAGAAAATGTGGGAATTACATCTGGGAATGTCTCTGAGCTCATTGAGAGAATTTGCACTGCCCCAATCCACAAAAAAGTAGGAATTAGCTTTGCAAATGCTGTTGAGCTCATTGAGGGAATTTGCACTGCCTCAACCCCCCCAAAAAGTGGGAATTAACTCTGGGAATGTTGCTGAACCCATTGAGGGTATTTGCACTGCTACAATCCAAAAAACCCCTGGGAATTACCTCCAGGAATATTGGTGAGCTCATTGAGGGACTCTGCGTTCCCAGAATTCCAAAAAAAGTGGGAATTACATCTGGGAATGTCTCTGAGCTCAGTGAGGGAATTTGCACTGCCTCAACCCCCCAAAAAATTGGGAATTAGCTCTGGGAATGTTGCTGAACCCATTGAGGAACTTTGCGCTCCCAGAATCCCCAAAAATCCCTGGGAATTACATCTGGGAATGTCTCTGAGCTCATTGAGAGAATTTGCACTGCCCCAATCCCACAAAAAAGTAGGAATTAGCTTTGCAAATGCTGTTGAGCTCATTGAGGGAATTTGCACTGCCAAAATCCCCCAAAAAATTGGGAATTAGCTCTGGGAATGTTGCTGAACCCATTGAGGAACTTTGCGCTCCCAGAATCCCAGAAAAACCCTGGGAATTACCTCCAGGAATATTGGTGAGCTCATTGAGGAATTTTGCATTCCTAGAATCCCAGAAAAAGTGGGAATTACATCTGGGAATGTCTCTGAGCTCAGTAAGAGAATTTGCACTGCCCCCAATCCCAAAACAAACAAACAAAAAGTTGGAATTTACTCTGGGAATGTTGCCGAGCTCATTGAGGGAATTTGGCTCCCAGAATTCCCAAAAAAAAGGCGGGAATTACCTCCGGGGATCTCGGTGAGCTCTCCCAGGGGCGGCACGGTCTCCAGTTTGTCCGCGTAGTTTTTGGCCGCCTGGCGCTGGGCGTAGCGCGCCTCGATCTCCTTCCGCGTGCGCGGGATCCGGCACTTGAAGATGCAGCACAGGGTGATAACTGGGAATGGGAAACGGGGAATTCTGGGTGAGGGATGGGAATGGGAAATGAGGAATTCTGGGTGAGGAATGGGAATGGGAATGGGAATGGGAAATGTGGAATCTGGGTGAGGAATGGGAACGGGAAACGAGAAATTCTGGGTAAGGGATGGGAATGGGAATGGGAAACGTGGAATTCTGGGTGAGGGATGGGAATGGGAAATGAGGAATTCTGGGTGAGGAATGGGCAATGTGGAATTCTGGGTGAGGAATGGGAATGGGAAATGTGGAATTCTGGGTGAGGGATGGGAATGGGATTCTGGATGAATAATTGGGAATGGGAAATGAGGAATTCTGGGTGAGAAATGGGAGTGGGAAATGTGGAATTCTGGGAGGGTTACAGGAATGAGAAAAGTGGAATTCTGGAGGAGTTATTTGGAATGGGAAATGTGGAATTCTGGGTGAGTTATCAGGAATGGGAGAGGGGATCAAGGATTTGTGTTGGTCACTGGGAATGGGGAGTGGGAAACGAGGAATTCAGGGGATAACTGGAATGCCAATTGAAAGTAGGAATTCCGGGTGAGTTTCTGGGAATGGAGAGGGAGAAATGAGAATTTAACGGGTAATGGGAGAGGGAAACATGCAATTCTGGGTGAGGGACTGGGAATGGGAAACGTGGAATTCTGGGTTAGTTATTGGGAATGGATAGGGAAGAAACAAGGAATTAACTGGAAATGGGAAATGTGGAATTCTGGCTGAGGGACTGAAAATGGAAATGTGGCATTTTGGGTGAGGGACTGGGAATGGGAAATGAGGAATTCTGGGTGAGTTATTGGGAATGGGAAAGGAGGAATTCTGGGGGAGTTATTTGGAATGGGAAGAGTGGAATTCTGGGTGAGTTCCTGGAATGGACAGGGAGAAATGAGGAATTAACTGGGAATGGGAGTGGGAAATGAGGAATTCTGGGGGAGTTCCTGAGAACGGGAGTGTGAAACACGGGAATCTGAGAGAGTTCCTGGGAATGGAGAGGGGAAAAAGGAGTTCTGGACATAACTGAGAATGGTAATGGGAAAAGAAGAATTCCAGTTGAGTTTCTGGGAATGGGAAATGAGGATTTGGGTTGGTTATTGGGAATGGGAGCAGGAAACAGGGGGAATCTGGGTGAGTCACTGGGAATGGGAAATGTGGAATTCTGGGTGAGGGACTGGGAATGGGAAATGAGAAATTCTGGGTGACTTATTTGGAATGGGGAAAAGGAATTCTGAGTGAGTTATTTGGAATGGGAAGAGTGGAATTCTGGGTGAGTTTCTGGGAATTGATAGGGAGAAATGAGGAATTAACTGGGAATGGGAAATGTGGAATTCTGGGGGAGTTATTGGAAATGGGAAATGTGAAATTCTGGGTGAGTTCCTGGGAATTGATAGAGAGAAATGAGGAATCAACTGGGAATGGGAATGGGAAACATGAAATTCTGGGTGAGGGACTGGGAATGGGAAATGTGGAATTGTGGGTGAGTTATTGGAATGGGAGAGGGGATCAAGGATTTGTGTTGGTTGCTGGAAATGGGAATGGGGAGTGGGAAACAAGGAATTCAGGGGATGACTGGGAATGGCAATGGGAAAAGAGGAATTCTGGCTGAGTTTCTGGGAATGGAGAGGGAGAAATGAGGATTTAACTGGCAATGAGAGGGGGAAACATGGAATTCTGGGGGAGTTATTGGGAATGGGAAAAGAGGAATTCTGGGTGAGTTCCTGGGAATGGGAGAGGGAAATGAGAGTCTGGGTGAGCTCCTGAGAATGGACAGGGAGAAATGAGGATTTACTGGGAATGGGAGAGGGAAATGTGGAATTCTGGGTGAGTTATTGGGAATGGGAAACGTGGAATTCTGAGTGAATTCCTGGAAATGGGAAATGTGGAATTCTGTAGGCACACAGTTTGTGGTGATTGGCAGTGGGGCTGGAGTGAGTGCCCAGGTGAGCTGTGCCATGCAGTGCCCAGGTGAGCTGTGCCATGGATGGGGTGCCCAGGTGAGCTGTGCCATGGAAGGGGTGCCCAGGTGAGCTGTGCCATGCAGTGCCCAGGTGAGCTGTGCCATGGAAGAGGTGCCCAGGTGAGCTGTGCCATGGAAGGGGTGCCCAGGTGAGCTGTGCCATGCAGTGCCCAGGTGAGCTGTGCCATGGAAGGGGTGCCCAGGTGTGCTGAGCCATGGAAGGGGTGCCCAGGTGAGCTGTGCCATGGAAGGGGTGCCCAGGTGAGCTGTGCCATGCAGTGCCCAGGTGAGCTGAGCCATGGAAGGGGTGCCCAGGTGAGCTGTGCCATGGAAGGGGTGCCCAGGTGAGCTGAGCCATGGAAGAGGTGCCCAGGTGAGCTGTGCCATGGAAGGGGTGCCCAGGTGAGCTGAGCCATGGAAGGGGTGCCCAGGTGAGCTGTGCCATGGAAGGGGTGCCCAGGTGTGCTGTGCCATGCAGTGCCCAGGTGAGCTGAGCCATGGAAGGGGTGCCCAGGTGAGCTGTGCCATGCAGTGCCCAGGTGAGCTGTGCCATGGAAGGGGTGCCCAGGTGAGCTGTGCCATGCAGTGCCCAGGTGTGCTGTGCCATGGAAGGGGTGCCCAGGTGAGCTGAGCCATGGAAGGGGTGCCCAGGTGAGCTGTGCCATGCAGTGCCCAGGTGTGCTGTGCCATGGAAGGGGTGCCCAGGTGAGCTGAGCCATGGAAGGGGTGCCCAGGTGAGCTGTGCCATGCAGTGCCCAGGTGTGCTGAGCCATGGATGGGGTGCCCAGGTGTGCTGTGCCATGCAGTGCCCAGGTGAGCTGTGCCATGCAGTGCCCAGGTGTGCTGTGCCATGGAAGGGGTGCCCAGGTGAGCTGTGCCATGCAGTGCCCAGGTGAGCTGTGCCATGGAAGGGGTGCCCAGGTGAGCTGTGCCATGCAGTGCCCAGGTGAGCTGAGCCATGGATGGGGTGCCCAGGTGTGCTGTGCCATGCAGTGCCCAGGTGAGCTGTGCCATGCAGTGCCCAGGTGTGCTGTGCCATGGAAGGGGTGCCCAGGTGAGCTGTGCCATGGACGGGGTGCCCAGGTGTGCTGTGCCATGCAGTGCCCAGGTGAGCTGTGCCATGCAGTGCCCAGGTGTGCTGAGCCATGGACGGGTTGCCCAGGTGAGCTGAGCCATGGACGGGGTGCCCAGGTGTGCTGTGCCATGCAGTGCCCAGGTGAGCTGTGCCATGGAAGGGGTGCCCAGGTGAGCTGTGCCATGCAGTGCCCAGGTGAGCTGTGCCATGGAAGGGGTGCCCAGGTGAGCTGTGCCATGCAGTGCCCAGGTGAGCTGTGCCATGGACGGGGTGCCCAGGTGAGCTGTGCCATGGAAGGGGTGCCCAGGTGTGCTGTGCCATGGAAGGGGTGCCCAGGTGAGCTGTGCCATGCAGTGCCCAGGTGAGCTGTGCCATGGACGGGGTGCCCAGGTGAGCTGAGCCATGGAAGGGGTGCCCAGGTGAGCTGTGCCATGCAGTGCCCAGGTGAGCTGTGCCATGCAGTGCCCAGGTGTGCTGAGCCATGGACGGGGTGCCCAGGTGAGCTGTGCCATGGAAGGGGTGCCCAGGTGAGCTGTGCCATGCAGTGCCCAGGTGAGCTGTGCCATGGACGGGGTGCCCAGGTGAGCTGAGCCATGGAAGGGGTGCCCAGGTGAGCTGTGCCATGCAGTGCCCAGGTGTGCTGAGCCATGGACGGGGTGCCCAGGTGAGCTGTGCCATGGAAGGGGTGCCCAGGTGAGCTGTGCCATGCAGTGCCCAGGTGAGCTGTGCCATGCAGTGCCCAGGTGAGCTGTGCCATGGACGGGGTGCCCAGGTGAGCTGTGCCATGGAAGGGGTGCCCAGGTGTGCTGTGCCATGGAAGGGGTGCCCAGGTGAGCTGTGCCATGCAGTGCCCAGGTGAGCTGTGCCATGGACGGGGTGCCCAGGTGAGCTGAGCCATGGAAGGGGTGCCCAGGTGAGCTGTGCCATGCAGTGCCCAGGTGTGCTGAGCCATGGACGGGGTGCCCAGGTGAGCTGTGCCATGGAAGGGGTGCCCAGGTGAGCTGTGCCATGCAGTGCCCAGGTGAGCTGAGCCATGGAAGGGGTGCCCAGGTGAGCTGTGCCATGCAGTGCCCAGGTGTGCTGTGCCATGCAGTGCCCAGGTGAGCTGTGCCATGCAGTGCCCAGGTGTGCTGTGCCATGGAAGGGGTGCCCAGGTGAGCTGTGCCATGCAGTGCCCAGGTGAGCTGTGCCATGCAGTGCCCAGGTGTGCTGAGCCATGGACGGGTTGCCCAGGTGAGCTGTGCCATGGACGGGGTGCCCAGGTGAGCTGTGCCATGCAGTGCCCAGGTGAGCTGAGCCATGGAAGGGGTGCCCAGGTGAGCTGTGCCATGCAGTGCCCAGGTGAGCTGTGCCATGCAGTGCCCAGGTGTGCTGTGCCATGGAAGGGGTGCCCAGGTGAGCTGAGCCATGGAAGGGGTGCCCAGGTGAGCTGTGCCATGCAGTGCCCAGGTGAGCTGAGCCATGGAAGGGGTGCCCAGGTGAGCTGTGCCATGCAGTGCCCAGGTGAGCTGTGCCATGGAAGGGGTGCCCAGGTGAGCTGTGCCATGCAGTGCCCAGGTGTGCTGAGCCATGGAAGGGGTGCCCAGGTGTGCTGTGCCATGCAGTGCCCAGGTGAGCTGTGCCATGGAAGGGGTGCCCAGGTGTGCTGAGCCATGGAAGGGGTGCCCAGGTGAGCTGTGCCATGCAGTGCCCAGGTGAGCTGTGCCATGGAAGGGGTGCCCAGGTGAGCTGAGCCATGCAGTGCCCAGGTGAGCTGTGCCATGCAGTGCCCAGGTGTGCTGTGCCATGGAAGGGGTGCCCAGGTGAGCTGTGCCATGGAAGGGGTGCCCAGGTGTGCTGTGCCATGGAAAGGGTGCCCAGGTGTGCTGTGCCATGGAAGGGGTGCCCAGGTGAGCTGTGCCATGCAGTGCCCAGGTGTGCTGAGCCATGGACGGGTTGCCCAGGTGAGCTGTGCCAT